TATTTCTATTGGGTATCATGGATAATTTGGATCAAAAAGAAATGACACTGATGTTGTATTGTATAACAGCAGCAAGGACATTAGTTGCTCAAAATTGGAAAAAAAAGATATTACCAACTATGGATGATTGGAGACAGAAAGTATCATATTTTGCAGAGATGGCAAAAATATCCGCGTACCTGAAGGATTATTCTCAGGATAAATTTATCTCAATATGGAGAAGATGGATAGATTATATTCAGAGAAAGTATGAACTGAAAAATTATTATGTAGCTTTTGATTAAAAACTTAGAATAAAAATAGGTATATTATATAACATAACTAAATTTTTTTTTCTTTTGTTATATTTTAATGTTATTTTAGAGTCACAGCAACTTTGTACTAGTGTGTAGTAATAATGAGTAGTTTTGATTAGATTTGGATGATTATGTATGTATTTCCTAGATTAGCTTTGGGAAGTCCTGGGGGGGGAGGGGGGAAAGGGGTAGGTTGGTATTATAGATTTGTATGTATATATATGTATTTTATTTTTTTAAGGAGGTGCCCGGTGATACCCCAACTGCACTGGCGGGATGGTTGAGGGAGAAAGGGAGGTAGGCAAGAGGGAGGAAGGAGGAGTGGCGGTAGGATGGGAGGAGGAAGGTGTAGGTAAGTGAGAGGGTGGTGCGGGAGGGGGACACCGGACACGTCAGTGAATGTATTGATTAGTGTTGATTCTCTTTTTGGTTGATATTGTGACAAAAGATTTATGTTTTTGTCTTTTAATGAAAAATTAATAAAAATTTATTCTAAAAAAAAAAGAGAAATAAAACCTAGCAACCAAGAACTAATTTATTTTTTAAAAAAGACAATATCCCACACAGTTATCATATATAGCATTTATGATTTGCTTCTGTTCCAGCACTGTTCCATATAGCACTTTTCCTTGCTCTTCATTTAACCATACTTCTTTTGCATAGGAATTATTCCATGTGTTCAAATTAATAAAAAAAATGGATACTCTTATAGAGGAAAAATAAATTGGAAACAGTATGAATGCATCCCTACCAACATGCAACATTTATTCTGAATGTAAGAGGTGAATTTTTGTGCTAGTTTTATGCTTATTTTGCAGTTGTTTAATGTCCACTGAATGTATTATGGCTCTAAGCTGAAGCACACACCTCTTTTGAGACCACCTACTTCCAACTGGATCTGCCTATCCAATAGGATCAGGAAGAATAGGATCTCATTGGGTCCCATCCATAGGAACAATGGAGGCAGACCTGTCCCTTCTTACAGCAGGATATTTGTGTAATGTAGAAATAAGTGCCTCAGTCTAGAGATGGAAATTCTGTTTTATTGGGGGTAATTATTCACTGTTGTCATTTGTTTTATGGATGCTGGGTATGTCACCTGTTCAGAGTTTGTAATAATTGGAGGGGCCCATTAGCTCAGTTAAACAAAATAAATAAATAAATAATAAAATGCCAAAGTGGGTCAGAAAACTTTCTCTTCTTTCATCTCACCATCTGCCTTCTTTGGCTCCAAAGACAAGCAAACCAGAAAAGGTAATAATGATTAGCAGTGGTTAGGGGCTTGGTTGATAGTCTATTGATAGAATACAAACTTTGGCAGATGCCCAACATTGTCACTCATTGATATTGCTCCCGCTTGTCTCAACTGGCTCAAATTGTTATTTGGTTTACCAAATAAATATTTACATATTCAACCCACCCACCCACCCACCACACCCACTTAATCATGGCTTTCATTTAAAAAAAAAACTTTATGGGCAGCATCATTTTTCACATACCTTCTGCATCTTCCAGCATCTGGATCTGTTTGAGTATGGGCTGGATATTAAGAAACAACCGGTGACTGTTGCTGAGCAGTTGTAGCAAATGCCGAGATCGGAAGGGGCAACCTGTATAGTAAACCAACTTACGGGCAGAAGGCAAACCATCTGGCTGGATCACAAATTTTTTCCCCTAAATTAAAAAGAAAAAGAAAAAAAGGAAGACAAGAGAGGAGAGAGAAGGAAAAATGTAAGTCTTTGAAAGACATTGGAACGAGTCATAAAAGCTGTGCACGAAAAAAGGGGCTTTAATGAATAAATTTCCCTATGGATGTTCAAATATAACTTTTCCTGTTGAATTATGACCGCTTCCTATCAGTAAGCTTATCATTCCGGTCTCAATATCTTCAATGGTTGGCTTCTTCAGATGTCAAGATCTTTTAAGATCCAAACTACTCTCAGTTATAAAAGCAGCATCCTGGCACACCAGCAGGTAAAGAAACTTTGACGGGTTGAGACTGTACCTTTGTACTCTTTTCTGTGAATTTTTTTCTCTCAATTCAAGCCTTTTCCAGGGGCAAAGAATGTATCTGCAGTTTACACACAAGCATGGATGCCTTTAAACAGTTTCTCTCCGAGACTCCATACTCCATACTCTATGTGGTCAGAGGCAGACAATCGGGCTTCTTGCAGCCTATGTGCACCTAGTGCACCTGGAGGGATCTGGCAGTTGCATATGCCAATGTAGAAGCTAGAAGGCTCATCAGAAGGCGACCAGTCTCCTGTGATAAGCTTAAAGGAAATGCGCCATTCTAAGGAAATCATGATTGGATTCTTTTTGACTGGTTGTCTTTGCCT